AAGCCAGAATGGTTCTTTATCAAGTTTTTATCTGACGTTTTAATTGCTCTGATAATAAAATATGTGCCCTTAGCATAAGTGTAATTAACACTACATATTTTCAGTCTTGGATGGTGTGATGTCACTATTTAAAAGATCAAATTTAAAGCACAGTCATGAAATATAACACCCAATATTCATTATTAGTGAGAGCGTGGAAACAGTAGACCACTCAAAACACAACTCCTGTTTGACTTATGTAGTCCAGTTTTAGTCACTGTCCGACTGGTGCTCAGGGACTTTTTTTCTCTCTTCCTCTAATTGTGTCCGTGGTCATCTACAGTCTGGATGCATCCCTCAGCACTCACAGCCAGAAGCTCTTTGCTTAGATCTGACAGCAAACTCTAACACCAATGTTGAGAGTTGAGTGTAAATATGCTAGTTTGTTTCATTCAAATTGTACCGCATACAGTATAGTATTTAAAAGTACTGTGTTTTTTTGTGTAAGGCAGTCTGCCATAGAAAATTCCACTAACGAAATACAAAATACTGTGCATAGATACAGAATTAACACCATCTTCAGAAAGAGAAGAAATAAATAAATGCTGTACAAAAGATTTATTTCAAATAAATGCTGGGGTTTTTTATTCATCAAGAAATCCTGGAAGAAATCTATCACTGTTTTCATGAAAATGAGTAGCACAGCTATGTTTAACTGTGATTACAAGAAATGTTGAACATCAAATCAGCATATTAAAATGGTTTCTGAAGGATCATGTGATACTGAAGACAGACTGGCTGCTGAAAATTCAGCTTTGCATCACAGCAATAATTTACATTTACATAGAAAACTATTTAACTAACATTTAACTAAAAAATATATTAAATTGTAATACTGCAAAATGAGTATAAAATACTTATTTTCCTATTAAAAAAAGTCTTAGCAACTCCAAACTTTTTAACAGCAGTGTATATTGGTTAAAATCATACTAATCATTTTTTGTTTGTGTAATGTAAGCTTATGTGTGTATGTAAGCTTAAAGGGGTCATAGGATGCCCATTTTCCACAAGTTGATATGATTCTTTAGGGTCTTAATGAAAAGTCTATAACATAGTTTGGTTAAAATTTCTCAATGGTAGTGTAAAAAACACCTTTTTT